CTCAGTTTTCAGAGAAATACAGAGTAAGACAGATTCCTAGAAGGATCTTGCATGAGCAGGGTCTATAAAAAGTGTCTAATCCACCTATGCTTATTTGTCTGGCTGTGTTATTTCTAGATAGGATTTAAGTTGGAGATGGTCTCTAAATCAAAAGTAAGTGACTCAAGACTAGCCTATGTTCCATTTACTGGAACAGTGGCCAAAATTGCTCCTTCCTTTAATAGGAACATCCCTATCAAGATGGGTCCTGGCTCTAAACTCTTCTTTCTTGTAGAACCAAGAGCCTTTATGGACAAAGAGACCCTCACTCAGAAAGTATAGTTCTCTGTGAGATTGTTAGAGGAGCATTTAAGATGAAGGGCCTCCAAAAGGGAAAAAAAATCAACAGCTGAACAATCAAATTCATATTGAATTTCATTCCAATAGAGGAGAAGAAAATCACAAAAGTGAGGACAATAGTATGGAGAAATGAGTAGAAGGTAGGCTGGAGATTACTATCTTATCTATTTAACCTAAAACAGAGAGTTGAGAGGACAGGAGATGGTGGATAGTCAGTTATGAAGCAACCACAAAATGTTTGCTGTCATTCATTTTTTAAGGTGTCTCTTTCCAGTTTTTACAATACAGAAAAAAACCATTTCAGGTTTGCTCATAGTACACTTGCAAATGAAATCTGCCCTCTTGAAAAGCTCTCAGATCAACAGCAAAAAATTTTAATTCAAATAATAGTTATAAATAGATGCTTAAATAGTTCTTTTGTGTATCATTCTCCCTAACAAAATGTGTTAACTACCTATTTTTTTGATTTCCTGATTTATAGGTAAATACACAAGACCTTTATGAATTTAGATGTCAGCTATTTAATTTCATTTTATAAAAAATGGATTCTCTAAATAACGAGTACAAGAATGAGAGAGACACAAAAGGATGAGGGATGAGATTGTCTGCGCAATCTCAAGGGGCCTACTCACTGGCCTTCCTTTCCTGTGCCAGATGTCTAGGAGCAGCCCCTTGGCCTGGAGTTTTCTGGCAGCCCCTACCTTCCTAAGGAAATGTCAGTAGAACTGTGTTCAGTTCTTGTCACATCTTTATTAAATAACTGAGCTTCATACTCCTAAACACGTCTGGCCAACATTCCTCCTGGGATACCTTCTAATTGTTTCCTTCCTTCCGATGATTCACAAATACAAAGTTGGGCATTAACCCTACAACCCCATCCCCACAGACCTTCTGTATTCTTCTGATCTAGCAGACAGCTTCATCCTCAGCTCACTCTCCCCAACCCCTAATCTCTCTTAATCTCTCAATTGGATCTTCTAGGGATCCTCATCCATAACTTTTCTTTGTTCTTCTCTTATGCCTCTTACTCTATCAATCCTTGATACTATAGTTCATCATATAGTGGTTTCGGGCTCCCATCTCAACCCCCTTCCCATGTCCTCTACTCTTTGAGAGCAGGCCCCAAATTCCACTTAACTAGAATATAAATTACACAACAGAGCACTTGTGTTATTATTGCCACACCCAGTGCCCAGAACAGAGACTGGCACAAATGCTTAACACAATTGGTAATTGGATGGATTTAGCCTTACGTTCTCCACGTGGCCCAGTTCTGTATCTTGTACATAACCAATCTTTTATAAACATTTGTTGATTCAAACTTATCCAATAAAGAGCTGCTTATCTCCACAACTCAGGGTCTAGTATTTTACATATTTGAGTTATAAGCCACTAAGAAAAACTTTTCTAAAATAGCATACTGTCCTTTTAAAAGTCAGACATCTCTTCCTGAGATGGGATTTTTTTCTTTCATGAACTTCCCTGATGAGGCCTAAGATATACATCTGATGCCAGGGCCAAAAATTGTAAATTTTAAGGTGGAAAGAAACCCTTCAGAAATACAGTCACTTTGTTTTAGAACTGAGGGGACCAGGTAAGAAAACAGTGCTGTGTTCTCTCTCAGTCCTCGTGCCCTCCATTTCAGTGTTCTTCCACGACACTCGGACTGAGATACAGGCAAGGGAAAAATGTGAGGAAAACTATGGTGTGCAATGACAGGACTGGGACATCTGAAGACCAAATTTGCAGATATCTGTCTACATAGGGCAAGAAATATATAACCATCCTTTCAATTCCTACACTAGATATAAAGGAGAAAACCATAATTATGAGCATATCATGCTCTGTTCTAACCAAATGAGTCAATCTGACACATAGCAATCGTTGAAAAGATTCACTGCCTTAAAGCAATAGTCAAAATTTTGTGAACATTATGAAATTTATAGATTCTATTGTTATGATTACTTAGAAAACACTTTTGAGCATCCCTGTTCACCCCAGTGGGTATAGCCAGAAGTGTTTTTTCAATTTAATAATTTACATACACACACACACACACACACATACACACACACACACACACACACACACACACACACACACACACACATATATATATATATACACAGAGTTGAATTTTCATTAGTCATTTGTGGTCTACTCAATGAGATAACATTATTTTGAGAGTCTGGTACTTTATATACAAAATCCCCTTGGAAAGATCCAGGGTAAATATGGGATTGTATGAGGCTTATAATTATAGTGAAGTCCCTATGTGGTTGAGTAGAATTTTAAATTTTATAATTATGTATTTCCATTTCCATTTCCATTTCCATATAACATAAAAAATTCCTTCTTAAATGGAAGCCACTATGGAAATTAAAATGCAGTAAAATTTTTATTTAAAATATTTTGTTGTTCCACTGACTTAATAAAATCCTTTTTCTGATATAAACAATAGTGTGTACTTTCTTGCTATCTCTGTAGTCAAGCCAATAGGTATACATACATTATTTATAATCACAAAAGGTACTTGAGCTTTCTAGAGAATTATTTCTCTGTATCACATCCTCTTGCTCTATTTTAATCTTTTAATGAGTTTCTTTTCAAAATAGTTTAGTAACTTAAGTGTCTGAGCCTCTTTGAATCCAGGCCTGTTCTAGTTGCTGGGAGATAGAGATAAAGCAGACGGCCTGGCCTCTGCTGTAATGGGGCTTACATTCTACTGGAGGTGGGGAGAGAAGAGAGGGAAAGACATGAAAAAAAAGAATTCCAGACAGTGATATGCACAGTGAAAAAAACAAAAAACGTTCCAATAGGACAGAGTGACTGGGAGTGTGTACATCTCTTAAAAGGGAATTTTAGGGAAAGCACCTCTGAGGAGGTGACATTTGATTCTAGATCTAAAAGATGAGAGGAAATCAACTATATGAAGATGGACATTCTAGGCAAAGGACCAATAGCACAATGGATCTGATATCTGGGCTATTTGAGAGGCAGTGGGGAGCAAGGCAAGCAAGGAGAAGAGTAGAGAAAATCAGGGGAGGGGTAGGCACTTGCCATATGCTGTCAGACGGGGAAGGCTCTGGGAAGGAGGGTGAGCTTCCTTCAAAAGGCAATGGATTCCTACTGCAGGGTGGGCGGCTTTAATCCAGGCACTGAAATGATCTTACCTAAGATTTTAAAATTCAGTTTGTGTGGTATGTAGACGAGCAGGAGAGTGAGCAGGCAGTCCTGTCAGGAGGGAGAGGTAGTGTCCAAAAAGAGAGAGGTAGACAGAATTGAGTTGTATTTTATAGACAAAAATAACAGGATACGGAAGGACAGGGAAGCAGGGGCCCCAAGGAGGATTCCTGGGTTTCTGGCTTAAGGCAGCCAGGTAAGCAGTAGTGCAGTTTGTTGGATGGGAAGACTGAGGAAGAAATGATGTTTGGAATATAATCAAATCTCTGTTTTAGATGTGCTAAATATCCAAATAAAGATAGAAGCAGAAAGATGTACTCAGCCAGATTTTTAAGAACCTCGTTCTGTGACCCATACACACATAGATTTATTATTTTATATATATGCATGTGTATCTACAAAATCTATGCCTGCAGGAAAAGAACTATCCCAATTTTTGAGATATTAGCAAATTAGATGGTATTTAAAGCTACAGATGACCTAGGGAGACAGTGGAGGTAATGAAAACAAGAAGACTGAAGTTTAAGCCTGGGGAACTCAAACATCTAACTATTGGGCAATGAGAAGGGCTCTGCCAAGAAGTCTAACAAATGAATGGCTGGAAAGAAAAAGAAATACAAAGAGCATGTGTTTTGCAAAAGTCAAGTGTATCAAAAGTTTCCTGAGGGGAAGTGTTAGACAACGTCCAATGTTGCTGAGAGGCTTGGTAAGATGAGGACTGAGAACAGACCGATTACTGATGTAGCAATACTAGTCACTGTCAACTTTGAGCAGCAGGAAAGGAATGGATGTTCAACTGGAGAAATGAGAACATATAACGAGAAGGTAGGAAGCAGAAGCAGTGAACATTTAAAAAATGCCAGATGTATTTGAGGACGAATAGGTGAATATGGTAAGGTCCTTATCTTCAAAGATGGTCCTTAATATAGGTAAGATCAATCGTTTATCAAGAATCTCTGGAAAAGATTTTTTATACAAAAGAAGGTTATATTTATATTAATAAGCATTTTATAAAGACCTATTACTAGAATGAAGGAAAATGTTAAGCAAAATGTTTTGTTAAGAACAAATAGTCTTCAATGCATCAAGAATTTTATCATCAGGTTTTCAGGTTTCATGTGTACAAACTTGACAACAGATTTTATACATCATCCCACAAGTTAAAATGTTCAGAATATGACTATTCAAAAAAGAACCATAGACATTTTCTTTGTCCTATTTCTTAAATCTTCCTAGACAGGATGTCAGATGGCTACCATACATGATATGTTTGAATAAAATAAATGTGTTTTTTGTAACAAAATGTCTCAGATTTTATGTAATTAAAGGCATGCTCAATGAACAGTTTAGAATAAGGTACCATTATCAAGTCATATCTTCATGTCCATATGAAATCCATTTTGCACAATGGTTTCCACTGAGTGTATATGTAATTAAATTGGAAGGTGCTGTAAGTTATAGCTGCTGCTGAGTTGAAATTTTGCTTTTACAGTTTAATGAACAGAAAACATAGTCTGGTGAACATCAGAGCTCTTTTAAGACAGTTAAATCTCATCAAAGAGGTCTTCTGGACTACTGTTTCTTAGAGTTTCTAAAGACATGTTTTCAGCTGAGCTGTGCTCTTTTCCCAACATCTCAGGTACTGGAGGATCAGTCCTAGAGTAAAAAGAAAATGAAGATTTTATTTTTTTTAATTCCATGTAGAGTAAAAGAAAATTAAAATGGCAAATAAGTGAAACAGAAATTAAATCTTGTTTCAGAATTGCTTAGGAGATTTATTTCCCTATACTACATTAACATAAAGAGATGAAGGGAATATTTAACTCTTTAGAATTAATCTGTTTCTATTTTGAGTTAACAAAAAAATCAAAGGCCTATACCAATACTCATAATTAAAGTTAATAAATAAAATATCCTCTGTGCTGCGAGTATTTTTATGACAAGATATAGAAGACTTTTCAAGCCATTTCTTTAATAATTCCATCACAGTTTACATTTTCCTCTGGGTCCCTTAAATTCCACTTACAAACATGCACTTTAACCCTTAATAGCAGAAAGTTCTGACTGCACTAATTTTCTTCAGTGGTTATTTGATTACAAGTGTGCATATAACTAATAATGACTTCACATTTAGCAGTCATTGATGAAATGTTGTTGGTCTACATGCATTAATTGAATTTACATATCTTCATTTAGTAACTAAATTTTAATCAGTTTCAGCGCTGCAGTTACTACATCAACGACTGATCTCTATATTTATCTAAATGTTCCCTTTAAGTCGTAGAATAAAAAGTGTATTATTGGCTGTTACCTGGTCTTAAAAATAGTGAGCTGCAGTAAGAGAGTTCAATCAGAAGGACAGCTTAGGAACATACATTTATACCTGTGTATAGACTTTGTCAGTAAAACATGCTGAATATTAACAATCAGAGATGGCTTCAGGGGCACTGATGACTAGGTTGAATCAACCCAGTAATATTCTAAGATTCAGCAATACTCCCATATTTCCAGCTTCAAAGGCAGAGGAGTAGTCACAGAGGCTTGGTACAGATGCAAAAGAATGGGATTTGAAGTCAGGACGGATAGATTTGAATTCAGGTCTTTTTCTTATTTTTTATAACTTTAGGCAGATCATTTAACCTAACTGGACTTCTGTTCTCTCCCCTGTAAAATCAAGATAATAATTTCTGCCTCAGATGTGGTCCAAAGATTAAATGAGATACTTGTAAAATTCCCACAAAAAATTTGGAAACTATTATTAGCTGCTAATATTGCATAAACCACAGAAGAGCTCCTGCTAATAGCTTCTTTAATTTAAAAGAATTAGCCATTAAAAATCTCCAAATTTTGAGTATGTTTAGATTATGAATATTTCAATAAGCCTATACCCACACTTAGTTTCACAGATTATTAAAAAAGAATCCACCACAGGGTCCTCTTGGCCCTGTGACTTACACAATTAACCATGGTTGACTGCCACTAAACCTGGGACGTGTCTTGTCTTATCCTGAGCAAGCCAAGTTCTGACAACATTACCCTCACAGGAATGTCAAAGGGCCAGTCATTAATGCATGCCAAGATGACAAGTACTATCCTCTGGGAGTGTCAGTGTTAAAATTAACAATAAATATAGACATAACTATTTTAACATGCAATTAAATATCTAAAAATATATTACACAGGAGAATAAAATGAAACTATAAAGAATAAAAGTATAATCATTACATGTGTAAGTTTTCAATGTCAACTCAAAACACATTAACCATTGTTCTCTGGCCCTAAAACCTAGAGTTGCCTTTTTTCCTCCTAGGAAATAGAGAATTGAATTATTTCAATTAAAAAGTTAGACATGGAAAAACCTCTGTAATTTTGTACATAATCTAGACACTGAACAAGCAGAATGCAGAGATCTATTGATTTAGTTAAAAAAATCAGCCTAAGACAAAAGGACCACGCTGAAGTGACAGGTCCGAAGGAAGTAGATTCCTGATGCTCCATTTATGATCCTCGTCTCCTCCTATAGTGACAAAGAGCTTAAGAAACACGTTTTGACTCCCTTGTTCTTAGAGACTAGTACATAATAGGAACTCAATTCATGTTCAGTGAACAGAGGTCATTATTCTACAGCTTTCATATCCATGGTAAGTCAACAGAATAAATTCAAGCTCTCCACACAAGCAAACTTAAGTTTTATAACTTTTATAAGTAATAAGTGTTTATGGTAAGACTATAAATTATGAAAAGCATAAAGTAAAATGTCCATCATCATATTTTACATCATTTGTATTTTCATCTGTATTGTTTTTAAGTGGGATCATTCTATGTATATAATTTTGCAGTTTGATGCCTTTACAATGCAATAGCAAAGCCTTCGCATGTTGAAAAAAACAGATCTATACTCATCATTAGTTTTAATTTGGTTGTAGAAACCATTAATCAATCTCCAGACAGACATTTGGGTTGGCTCCATTTTTTTAATGCTTTTATAAAAAACACAATAATTAATATCCTCATAAACATATTTTAGCATATTTGTAATATTATTCTTTTACCAACATGCTTATTCCAAGAATTGATGCCGATAAAGTGAAATTTGAAGCCAATAATTCAGAGAGCCTGTATCTAAATTCTTCACAGAAAGTGAGCTTAAGCAAGTAATTTGAAACTTGGAGTTCCTCTCTGTGTAATTAAATTACAATCATTAGATACGGTCCAGATTTAAGTTCTAAATCTCCCAGGAAGACTTTTTTCTTTTGACATTCTACATTCAGGCTGATTTTTCTTTTCTGTGATTATTTAAAGTACTTGATGTCTGCACCCTGTGTTTCAATATAGCTTTATTTATTTCATCAGTATTTGTCAAACATGTACTACAAACAGCTCACTGTACAAGAGAAATAAGACAGATAAAAGTAACACATGATTCCTGCCCCCAGGAAGCTTTCAGTTAAACTTTTTACTTTCTCTTACTTTTTTCAAATGTGTCATTTCATCATAATTTTATTTGTTGGAAGACAAGGACTATGTAACATGACTTGTTAACAAATAATGTTTTATTGCTTTAGGAATCTGTATAAACATTTTATCAGTATTTAGGATTAAGGTAGATTTTCAGATAGTTTTTATGGACATGATGGTTCAACAAGAAAAATTCTGAATCCAGAGTCAGATTCTTATTTATGCCTCACCACACTGAGATTTTGGTCAGGTGACTGTACCTTTCTGAATCTCAGTTTCTTAATTGAATTTGTGGAAAGTTAGGATTCCTATAAATAATCTTGGAGTTCTTTCAGCACCTGGATTCAGAGATAGTTATGCTCAAATAGTTGAGCATAGACTACTTTGCAAAATACAGGGTCTCAATAAATATCTGGAATAAGTGAATAATATGAATTAAAGAGGACAGGTTAATGACAATAAGAAACTGTTCTTTAGGGCTAAAGGCTAAAATATAAGGACTTTTTAAAATAAAGGGAATAAATGAAACTTCTCCAGATGATGACAGCCTCACTAAAAGATGGCTTATGTTCTTAATATAGTTGCAGAGTTCTGCTTTATTAGCTTGATTTCACACTGCATTAAAACACACACACACACACATACGCATGCTAACCACAACTCAAATCAAAATTGCACTACCATCATCTAATTAACAAGGAATAGTGTAGATCAAAAGTCAGGTTTGTCAAAAGAAATATCTCATCTTGTGAAAGGTTCTCTGAAATGTTAGAATGACTGACGTCTCTTTTAATTTCTGGGAGCCGAATTACCCATAACTTCAAAAATGTTATTTCCAGTTCTTCGCTCATCTTGTAAAGACATTTCTTGGCCCTGTTTAATATTGGTATTACCATGACTGGAATATCAATCTTTCCTTATTCAAATGAGGAGCATCAGTATTGTTTTGAGTGGATTAGTTGCATTTTGTAACATACTCTAAGAGTAAGATTTCTGAAACATGTGAAGGTGCCAGTCTGAGGAAA